ACACACACATATATATATATATATATATATATATACACACACAGATATATTTATTTATTAATGGCGATACATACATATATATATATTTCTATCAATCATAAGCTTTTTCAATCCTAAGATTCGAGAACTTGATTGATAAAAAATAACTGGTTAAGCTAACCAGTTGTAACCAGGGCTACAAGACCGTAAAATTTTTGTGGGTTTCTGTTAATTAAGAAGCAAGAATTATAATTAGTTTTTTTACAAATTCAGCAGCAGTTAATAACTGCTGTATCATGATCTTATTGCTATGAAAGCACTCATGATGCCTATCACTGCTTTTTCAAAAAATGCAACATTAAGAAGCAGAATCAGGAAACTATACATTCGCCCCTCACCCTTCTTCCTCCTCTTCTCCCCCCCACCAAAAAAAAAATAAAAAAATAAAGAAGCAGCCTAGGCAAATCTTTGAGGGGAAACAGGTTTCTTTTGGAAACCTGTGGAAAGAAATGGCTTCAAGGTTTACATTTTTTTTTTTTTTGATTGTCAGCCAGAACATATTTCCTTTTCTCTGTTTCTCTCATGTATCAGTGCATTTCTTAGTCCTCTTTGCAGTAAGTGATAGTTTTTGTAGGTATTTAAATAGGACTAGAGTTTAAAAACAACCATAGTTATTTAAGAAACATTTATTTTAAGTTTTTTTTTAAGGATGCAATTTATAATGCACATAAGAGAAGAAATCTTTTATAAAACCTGTTGTGATTGCTTGGCAGGTTTTACAGCAGTTATTTTTTTTCCCAGACAAAGCTAAGTATGTACATTCTGGCGTTCACGCATTAAACAAATGTTTTCTAAGTAACAGATGTATGTGTAAAATTTCTAATGTCTACAACTGTTCTGCTTAAAGCTTCCACACAGACATCCTTTGGCTGGGAAGAGCAGAGCTGCAGATTACACCATGATCCTAAGGCTGGACCTCATTCTCTTCTCCACTCCATCTGAGAGTCGGTGGCTGGGCTGGGTATGAAATCTGAGATTCCCATCTCCATAGCATCATTCCCTCCTCTGCCTGGTGCCCTCTCTACAAGCTGTTCCACCTTAACAAGTAGAAAGGGGTTGAATGGGTGCCAGCCTCCAACTCCATGGGAGAGAGCAGAAGACAGCTAGTATTAATTTATTTGCTCTTTCCATTGATGTTATGACAATTGTCTAGGGAGAGAGCAGTCACCCAGTAGCTTTGCCAAAAGCCAGGAGGTGGGAGGAGCCAGTGCAGAAGTACAGGTCTTCAGTACAGATAACTCTAGCCCCCACTGAATGCCTAAGATCTGTGGCTTATATGGTCCAAACACTTCGACAGATCCATAGCTGAGCTGCCGAAATCTTGTTCTGCAAAGAGGATGTTTTAAAGGAAGCTCTGTAAGTGAATGCTTGTTTTTTATTTCCAGTGTAAGAACACCCTGGGAAAGGGAGGATATGGCTTATTGACAACAATGTCATGTAAACAGTGTGAAACTGCAGTCTCCCTTAACCAAGATGGAACATTTTGCCTTACAGCAAAACAAACAGCAACTTGCTAAATTTGATCTATCACCTACAGAAAGGCTTTATGTCTCTAGTTCTGAAACAGTCTGCTTAATGACAGCAATGATTTCTCAGTTTCATGCTCATTCACAGTATTACATATTTATCAGGGACTATGTGGCATGCATTCATCTTGAAATACATGGCTTTTGAAGTTAGGCTTGGGTACTTCCATGCAGTGGCATTTGAATTGGGGTCATGGAGTATTCAACAGCTCTGCTTGCAAATCCACCCAGCAAAGACAGTCCAACAGGATTAAGAGGCCCTATGAAAAAAAAGTGAGCAATTAAACATGGGATTTAATAAATATTCAAAATATCTGACTGACTAATGTACAGCATCTGGCACAAAAAATAGAAATAATTCAAAGTGTTCTCCCTGCTTTTCAACTGCACAAGGGCAAACCAGTCCTACCCTTCCCTTGTCCTGTACTAATTTCATTGCTATCTAGATTGTTAGGAACATAATCCAACTATTTCAATTAAGAGATTTCACGTTTTTAGAGTCCAAACTCACTAGGTTGTGCTCACTCTTGCCACTGCTTGCAATAAATGTAATGAAAAAGCTATTGTGGCAATAAGACAGTTCCTACAGTTTTCTATGATCTACAGAACAGAAACAACCATTTAAAAGACTCTAAAGGTTAAATTGTGTTTTTCTGCCTTCAAGACCCAAGCAAAACATCATGGCATTGCCCTGTCTAAGGCGCAGACATTCAGAATCAAGTTGGCCTCCTGGTTTTCCTCTTAGCTCCATGTGTGTTTTGAAGTAGGTGGGAATAGACCCCTTAGCTCTGTGCGCATGTTTGAAGGTTTGTGGGAGTGGACTATGTGAAAGAAAGAAAATGCCTTGTGCCTATATGAAGGAAGTACTTCTTCTTAAGCCAGCACAAAGGGCAGAGCCGAAACTCCACCCTTTCTGGCCCATATCCAGGAGAACATATAGCAGACATAATGTCTTCCTTTGCATGGCTGGCATGGGTATTCCATACAAAGGAAGAGGGCTGGACTGAATGTTTCCTCTGCAGTGCACAAACTAGACTTGGCTACAACCTCTTTCTCAAACAATTAATATGACTACAAGGGGATAATTTGATAACACAAGGATATTCTGAACTTCTAGGTAGAAGACAGATACTAATAACAACCCTTCTATTATTTCTCAAAAAAATACCAGGTGTCTGTGTTGCTCAACCACATATCCTGTCAGTTAAGACAGGACTATTGATGGGTGTTAGAGAAAGTCCTATTGGTTGATGGACAACAATGCAGGGACTTGAATGTGGCCAGTTAAATCTGCACATTTGTTGAAAAGAAATAGGATATGTCCCCAACCAAAAGTATAGCTCCTGACCAGTAATAACAGTAGGAAGCATATTGTTTTGGAAGGATTAATTCTGGTATACTGTAACACAGGGGTGGGTAAAATGTGGTCCACGGGCCGGATGCGGCCCACCAGGCCAGTCTATCTGGCCCGCAGGGCCCCTAAAAATTTAGAAAATTAATATTTATCTGCCCCTGGCTGCCTGTCATGTGGCCCTCAATGGCTTGCCAAAACTCAGTAAGCAGCCCTCTGCCCAAAATAATTGCCCGCCCCTGCTGTAACAGGAAGGCAACCAAAAACTTCATGCTTCTTAGGTATCAAAAATTTAAACTGTTAATTTTCTTATCTAACTGCAATTACTTGACCATTCATTTTTTCTGAAATTGTTCCAATATTTTAGTAATAAGTTATAAAACCCCAAACACTGTCAGTTGTAGTAGCAGTAAGGAGAACCAACACTATAATAACTGATAGGCTATGCAAAACTACAAGAACACAATGCTTTCAAAAGCCTTCATTTTCTATTGGTTTTGAACTGCATTCTTCAGAAAAAAGAAAATGTGGTCCCTACTGGAAACTACAGGTTTTTATTTTAAAAGCATATCTTCTGGATAGTTAGAGTCAACAAAACTCTTCTATGTACAGCCCTTGGCCTTAATATTTGCTAGAGAAGGACAACTGTCAGTCTTAGGCATCTACAGAGGCTGACAATTCCATTACCATTCAGTTATACTCTGCAAAGTGACTGTAAAAATTGCATCAGAGGATTATGGGTTTTTTCCAATTACTTTCAAATCAAATCTACCCAGTTCATAAATAAAACTATAGCCCCCTCCCCCTGTTGTAAGGCAAAATGATTCTGGAGTCTGTAAGTCAGGCTGCCTTATGTCTGACATGACAATAACAATTCTACAATTGGCAGTTAGTAAATACTTCTGTTGGTGATGTGCAAGCTCTCAGTATCAACAGGAATAGAATGGTAAGAAAAATGCAAGCAAACCAGCATCAGCAGAAATAAAAAATATTAGTTATTATTTAAAAAGTGCATATGGACCCAATGCGGAAATACCATGACTTTCTTATTCAGAAGGTCAAACTGCATGCTTCTAATGGGTTTCCTTTGGCCTTAAAACATATTACTTTGAAAACAAACATAGTAGTAGACAAACTCAATACAAAGATGCAATCTTTTCTGGTCATTTTTTCAGAGGGGTGCCTGACCTTTAAGCTGTACTATTACAGTAGGTGTTCTGGGAAATCAGCCTTGCCTGCTGAGTACTGATTTAGGACCACATACCTCCATTTTCAGTTATCACCTCCTTTACTTCTCTTGTCCCTGCCTTAGCCTACACTGCCAAGTGAAAAGTTTTCAAATGGTATAATTACCACTGAGTCATTAAATCCATTCCTGTCCCTAACCTACACACATATACACATCAAAGACAGCTGCTACTGATACACTTTTATGGATGGATGGTCTTAATGCTTCCCAGTTCTGCATCAACTTATAATCTTTAACTGAAGCTCCTTTTTCAACAACAATGTAAAAACAACTTTTGACATGCGGCATTGATCAGAGGCTCTTAAAGAGGCAGTTTAGTAATACTGGACCTAATGTCATACATCTAGAATGCCACTCCTGGAATCCTAGATCATAGGGAAAATTAACATGGACAAAAATTTTACAGACTTTTTTTTTTTTTTTTTTTACTAAAAAGATAACAAAAGATGAAACATAAATGGTTAAAAACTAATGGTAACTGCACTTAACTCACTATCTCTTCCTAATATGGATTAGTCAAATGATGCTTGTAAACTGGAATTAAGGAATTCTAAGCAGCATTGTGGTACAATGCGGGGTGGGCCAGTATTTTGAGCGGAGGGCCACTTACTGAGTTTTGGCAAGTCATTGAGAGCCACATGACAGGCAGCCAGGGGCAGATAAATATTAATTCTCTAAATTTTTGAGGGGCCCCGTGGGCCAGATAGACTGGCCTGGTGGGCCGCATCTGGGGCCACTGGTCTACGGTCCCAGAAGCAGACTGGAACAGCCCCAGGTTGCACTGTCCCTGAGCAGCAGCCATGTGGCTCTGCCCAGCATCTCTGAGAGCTCAGGTCCAGAGGAGGGAAGCTCATTCTTTCCAAAGATGATGTCCAGGGGCCAGATCACATCAGATACAGATCCCAGCAAACCCCGGTTCTCTGGAGGGGCTGGATCTGGATCTCCGGAGCACCCAAGCTGCTCAAAACCTTGAAACCATGCCCCTGTCCCAGCCTCACAGCTGTGAGCCCCGAGGCTCTGGGACTGCAACCGACAAAATAACCTCAGAAATAGATTCATAGACATTAGGGCTGGAAGGGACCTCGGAAGATCGAGTCCAGCCCCCTGCCCCAGGAGCACGAAGTCAGCAGGGATCATAGGATCCCAACAAGATAGACATCCAAATGTGTTTGGAAGGCATTCAATGTAGGTGCTTGAACCACCTCCGGCGGCAGTCTATTCCATACCTTGGGAGCTCGGACGGTAAAGAAGTTCTTTCTATGTCCAGCCTGAAACTGTAATGGAGGAGTTTGTGACCATTAGACCTTGTCATCCCTTGGGGCACTCTGGTGAACAGACGTTCCCCCAGATCCTGGTGAGAACCCCTGATAAACTCATAGGTGGCCATCAGATCACCCCTGAGCCTGTGCTCTTCTAGGCTGAGTCTCATGGCTCTCAGCCTTTCATCATAAGGTCTGTTTTCCTGACCTCTGATCATGTGCATGGCTCTCCTCTTCTCTCAAGCTTCTCCACATCCTTTTTGAATTGTGGAGCCCAAAACTGGATGCAGTACTCCAGCTGCAGCCTCACCAAGGCCGAGTACAACAGAAGAATGACACCCTGGGATTTACTTGAGAAGCATCTATGGATGCAAGCCAGCATTTTGCTCGCTTTACTAGCTGCAGCATCACATTGAAGGCTCATGTTCATTTTGTGGTCAATCATGACCCCCAAGTACTTTTAGTCTGTAGTGCTAACCAGCATAGCACTGCTGAGCCTATAAGCATGCTGCAGGTTTTTCCTCCCAAGGTGGAGAACCTTGCATTTTTCGGTGTTGAACATCATCAGGTTCTCATCCGCCTATTTCCTGAGCCTGTCAAGATCTGCCTGGATCACCCTCCTGCCCTCAGGTATCGATACTTTGCCTCAGAGTTTGGTGTCATCAGTGAACTTGGCCAGTCTGGTTCCAACACCAATGTCTACATCATTAATTAAGATGTTAAATAGTATAGGCCCTAAGACAGAGCCTTGAGGAACCCCACTGGCCACATTGCACCATGATGATTGAGTTCTGTCAACCACCTCCCTTTGGGTGCTACTGCAGAGCCAGTTCCCCAGCCAGTGGATCATGGTGAGGCCAAGGCCGCAGTTGGCCAGTTTTGCCAAAAGGTGATCATTGGATACCAGATCAAAGGCTTTTTAAAGTCAAGATATATGACATCAATCTCTTCTTCCTTGTCAAGGTGATAGGTCACCTGGTTGTAAAAAGGAAATGAAATTGGTCAAGCAAGACGTATCCGCAACAAACCCGTGCTGGCTATCCCTCAGGATGTTGCTGTTAGCCAGTCTGTTAAGGATGGCCTCTTTGATAATCTTTTCCAAGACCTTCCCCAGGATAGACGTCAGGCTGATGGGCCTGCAGTTTGCCAAATCTACTTTCCTTCCTTTCTTGAAGATAGATAGGCACCACACTGGCCTTCTTCCAATCGTCAGGCACTTCACCAGAGTGCTAGGAGTTCTCTAAGACCCGTGCCAGGGGCTGGGGTATGATGCTAGCCAGCTCCTTGAGTACCCTTGGGCGTAAACTGTCAGGGCCGGCTGACTTGAAGGTATCCAGCCTTTCAAGGTGTTCCTTCATGAGGTCAGCACTGATGGAGGGTAAGAAATCTCCCTCACCCGGG